CTGGTAGCCTCTAAATAATACAAAATCAGAATGACTTATGCTGTATACAGTATAGACAATCTGGAGAATACTTAAAGAGAATGCCAGTGTGTGCCTATACTTCCAGCATTCAGTGGCCAAGGCAAGAGTTCAAGACCAGTCTGAGCAGCACATAAAAATCCCAAGTAAAAAAGCAAAAAAATGCATATGGAAAAATGTGTAATAAGTTACATGCAATCCTATTGCATTTTATGTAAGAGATTGAACATCCTCAGACTTTAGTATCTACAAGGGGTCCTACAATCAACCCTCCAGAAGACAGAGGAACAACTAACTGTATACAGGTTAGGAAATTGGGAAAGTATAATCTTTAAACCGGTATCTTTCTAACTGGCTGTGAACTCAACACCTTGGGTTTTTAAACCAAGAATGTACTCAAATTTTCAATGTAAAATGTCATCAGAACAACATATTTAAGCATTCCTTAATACTACTATAGATTCTGATGTTATATTCCAAGCCAGATCTAATCTTTGCTAACTGATATTGCTCCAAATGAAAATTTCTTTTTTTCTTTCTTTCTTTCTTTTTTTTTTTTTGGTTTTTCGAAACAGGGTTTCCCTGTGGCTTTGGAGCCTGTCCTGGAACTAGCTCTGTAGACCAGGCTGGTCTCGAACTCACAGAGATCCACCTGTCTCTGCCTCAAGTGCTGGGATTAAAGGCATACGCCACCATCACCCAGCTCCAAATGAAAATTTCTATGTTGAAATCCTAACCTCCAATATGATATTTGTTGTGAGGGCAAAGTGGTCAGAATAGGATTATAAGAATAAAGATCCTGTATCTGCTAGCACCTCAAACTTACCAGCCCCCAACCTGAACGAATGCTTGTTTAAATCACCTAGCCTGTGCTGGGTGGTTTCTGTCAACCTGTCACAAATCCAGGCATATCCAGGAAGAGACTCTTTTTCCCCCCCAAAACAGGGTCTTATTAGGGTAGCTTTGACTGACCTGGAACTCACTATGTAGACGAGGCCAGCCATCAACGTATAGAGATCCTCTTGCCCCTGCTCTCCTGAGTGATGGAATTAAAGGCTTGCCCCACCACAATGCCTGGGAGAAGAGGAATAATATCTGAAAAAATACTTCCATAAAATGGCCTGTAGGCAAACCTGTGGGCAATTGACTTGATTAATGATTGATGTAGCAGGGCACAGCTCACTGTGGGATGTGCCATCCCTGGGCAGGTGGTCCTCAGTTGTATAAACAGCAGGCTAAACAAGCCAAGAGAAGCATGTCAGTAAGCATGAAGGAAAATCCATGGCTTCTGCACCACAATCCCTGTCCTGACATTCTTCAGTGATGGACTGTTACATGGAAGTACAGGATAAAATAGACCCTATCCTCCCTGAACTACTTTTAATCGTGCTGGCTGGCTTGTTGGTTGTTTGTTTGAGACAGGGTCTTTCTACATAGCCCTGGCTGTCCTGGAACTCACCTCCAATTCAGAGATCCACCTGCCTCTGCCTCCCTAGTGCTGGGATTAAGTATGTACACCACCATACCCAGCTCATCATCGTGTTTTAAGACATAGTCCATGCAATTTGTTATAATAGCAGGAACTGCTGGATGGTAGCACACACCTTTAATCCCAGCACTCGGGGAGGCAGAGGCAGGTGGATTTCTATGAGCTCAAGGCCAACCTGGTCTACAAGAGCTAGTTCCAGGGCAACCAGGGCTGTTTCACAGAGAAACCCTGTCTCAAAAATCCTAAAAAAAAAAAAAAAAGAGCGTGAATTATGACATATGTCTACTTCATCAACTAAAGAAAATAATTTCCAAACCTTGTAAGACAAAGATTGCTCAAGCTAATAGAGGGGAAAAAAATCTAAGAATTAATAATATTTCATATATCCCACATATGTGTATGTACACAGATATACCATCAAACACCTTTAATTAGGAACTAATTATTTAAAAGAGGTGTTAAGATGTGAATTGGAAAATAGCCGTGACTATGAAAGAGCTAATATAAAAATCAAAGGGCCTTCCTTCCTCCATCATCATGAACCATTGGTCTGATTTGTTTTCTCACAAGACTTTCAGAGTCAAGCAATTCCTAGCCAAGAAACAAAAGTAAAATGGTTCTATTCCCCCAATGGATTTGGATGAAAACTGGTGACAAAACCAATACAATGCCAAGACACAGGAGAAGAATGAGGCTGAGTCTGCAAGGACTTGCACACATGTCATGAGGGTTTACGCTGAATCATGGTCTCTAGCAATCTTACCAGATGACACTGAGCATTTTTTACCTCTGGAGATTTGGTTTAAATTGGGGTTTGAGTTGCTCTTATCTGTCCCACGTGAGCCAACTGGTTTGTTCAGCAATAAAATATATAGGACCTTTAAAAAATATATACAAGGGGCTGGAGAGATGGATGATTTACAGTTAAGAGCACTGGCTGCTCCTGCAAAGGTCCTGAGTTCAATTCCCAGGACCCACAATGAGGCTTCTAATCATCTCTAACTTGAGTTCCAGGGAATCTGATGCCCTCTTCAGGCCTTTGTGGGCATCATACATACACACAATGCACAGACATATATGTAGACAAAACACCCATATGCATAACATAAAAAATAAATTTAAATCAAGAATCTCTTTAATATGTCTTCCCCACTGACTAGGGGAGAATTGAAAGAGCTTGATTAGGGAATGGTATGGTATATTTCATTTATCTAGCATTTAAAAAAAAAAAAAGCTATGTTTAAACTGAAGGGTTACTAAACCATAAGGAAGAATACTTAGCCCTAACTTTTTATTTGATAATTTAACCCAGAGGTTAGGCAGGTCTATAAAGCTGTTTGCTCCTATAACCTATCAGTTATGGTCACCGAAAGACTTACTCTCCAAGAGAATATACATTCCTAAATAAGGCCGACAAACGAGATTAGGTTCAGAGTAACAAGGGCCTTCAAAAACAATTAGAACACAGTCCCTGAGTTCCTAACTGCTTAAGACTAAATAAATGCATGAACACCATGATAAGGTTCTTCTGAGAAATCAGAAAACATAGTATAAAAAAGTAAAACAGAAATGAAACCACAACAAAAGAAATCCAAAGGAAGAATTATACAATCTATCTTTTCCACCCCAAATAAAAAAGTAAAACAGAAATGAAACCACAACAAAAGAAATCCAAAGGAAGAATTATACAATCTATCTTTTCCACCCCAAATCAGTTCCACCTTTTCTTTTCACTGCAACACTGACAAAATGTCAAACAATTGAAATTTACTCTGGAGACACACCCAAGGCTCCAAAAGGTCATGGAGGGAATTTCAACTAAAATTCAACAGCCGCAAGAAGTCTGCAAAGAAAGGCACACGAGTCAAAACTTTACTAGCAACTACAGGTTGAATAAACTAGTATGACAACTTGAGTAACATAATCACTAACTGAAAAAAAAATTAGGCCGACGGAAAAAAAGTAATAGCAAAACGTGGTGGCCCACAACTAAAACATAGTCACCTGTGCTACTATCATTTTGCCACTAGTGATTTTACTTTTAACAAAAAATTAAATTCCACATTTAATATATTACTTTCAGTTATGCACAGTATACATCCAGGGGTGTTAGGCTTAGTATTGCTTGAATAAGTATAATTGCATTAAAAAAAAAAAGTACATTAGCCCTATTCTAGGGAAATACTAATAACAACCACCAGAGCTCCACAAGGGCATATCTGATCTCCACCTTCATTATCTCTTTTAAAATACAGCAGTTACGGTTTCCTGGGAAACACCGGACCATTACAGAAAAAGAACATCAAATAGCTCAATTCACTACAAGGAACTTCCAAGAAAACATTCGTCCTCAGCTGTGCTGAAGACAACGTCAACGCAAGACAAAAATTTTAAAAAGTGGTCCAGATATTCTAAACAATTGTTTTCATTGTCTGCCTTCTAAATGTAATTTCTCTGGATCGCACAATGTAAGAAGTCTCCGTGTCCCCTCTCACTTGTCACTCCTCTGTTCGGTTCTGACCAGTACATAAAGGGGTCATTAAATGGGCCACGTGATGACTGGCAGACACAACCAACTACACTTTGGATCCAGTTAGACGGAGAGGACTTTGATGCTCGGCTGAGGATCTATGCTGAGCATCCATGAGCATCCCAGCATCCAAGTACCTATTAGGGATGTAACCCCTGAATGAATCCGAGGAGATCTTTGCTGGAACATCCTTCCCAGCCTCATCTGTTTCCAACACTGGAAGGTACAGGCAGTAGAAATCAGTCCAGGAAGGTTCATGGGAGAAAACTCCTTCCCAACAGCACCGGACCGGAGTCGGAGTAACATCCTCTCCAGGATTCCCAGTACCTGGGATTGCTGGGATCGGTTCCTGACCCTACACCCCGAGAACACACACAGGGGGCGCTCCCGGGCGGCGCCCCTCTTCACCCCCACTCCCCGATCGCCTCCTGTCAAAGCAGGAGGCAGCTCCCCACCCTAAGCCTCCGAGCTCCCGCCCGACGGCGCAGACTCGCGAGCTGCTCCCTCCGGGCGGCGGACCCAGTCACTCACATGCTCGACCCAAGAAGATCCCCGGTCACCACGCTGCTAGCCCACGGGGAGCACACGACCCCTCGGCAGTGTACAAGGCTACGGTGGTGTGAGCCGGCCCGCGGTGAACCCGGCGCTTTACCTTCCGCCATTCCGCCAACGTGCCCTGCTTAACCGTGGCGCCGCCGTACAAGCTGACATCCCGTTACTCACCTCCTGACAACTGCACCGAGAAATCCCCACAATCTTCTTCTTCGCCGCCACCGCCTCAGCGTTCGCCAGCGTCGCAGCTGCGACCGCCATGTTTGTTGTGTCTCCTCTCCCTTCCCGCCCCCCGCCTTGCCCAAGTCTCGCGTGAGCGAGCTGTAGGGAGCAAGCGGGGAGAGTGTGTGTCTCTCCTGGGGTTCCGTAGGCGGGAGTGGGCGGGGACTCCAGGGGGTGTGTGAGGGGAGGATGAGCAGGAGTGGGCGGGGCCCGAGTTTGCCCCACCCAGAGTGTCTAGCCCTGAGGCGCAGCAGGCTGACCTGAGCAAGAGGAGGATGGCGACCTCTGCGCTGCAGCTGTGGCGTGCCGGCGGGCTGGTGAGTGTGTTGGAAACGACAGTCTCGGAGGGGTCCGGGGCGACACTGATCCCCGGCTACTTCATCTTCTCCTAATGGTCTAGGGGAGCTCGGGGCCTGGGGGCTGTCTCCCCAGACCTTTCACTGGCGGGATACCGCCATCTCGATTTCCTTCAAGATCGGTCCTAGCCTGCTTCAGCTTCTTTGGGGAGGGCAGGTGCGGCAGCAAGTAGGCAGAAGGAAGGGGCTGGTCTAGAAGCTTCGGCGGAACAAACACGCCTGGAATCGGAGGGCCGCCTCGGCAAGATGCCCTTTGCTAAGACTATTATTGAGTCCCAGACAACCTGCAAATCAAGGGTCCTCGGAAGCATTTTGCAGAAATGTTACCTCTCTCATGCCACATTTCCCCGGTGACTATCACCTTTTTTTTAAAGAGTTAAAATCTAGGCCTAGTCTTCGAGTCACCCTCGTGCCTTCAGCAGCCCAGCTGGAAAAGCTGGAAGGGACCTCATATTGCTGGAACTTACCACTCAGGGAAAGAATTTCTTCAGCTTTATCTCACTGCTGTGAACTGAGCGGCTCCCTTAGAGGGTCCGACTTTAGACTGTGGGGATCTCAAAAGCCCATTCTAGTCCCCTTCCTCAAACTTGAACTGAGGAGAGCCTCTCACACCTGCATCTCTCTGACCTCCTGTGGTTCCCCTGGGCTTTCTAGTCTTGGAATTAGACAGATACTCAGCCCAGTGCGGAAGACAGACTGTATTCCAGAATAACAGAAGACCCTCATATCGGAGTGGACAGTGGCCAAGAGAACCACTGTGGAAGCCTCTATTTTTGCTGGACTATATGATGTGTTTCTACAGGTCCCTGAAATAGCTTTCCTAGAGGGTGTTTTTCAGCTCAGGTGATTCACAAATTCCCTAGGATCAACCCTTAAGGAAAAGGATAATCGAATGAATGCCTTTGCCGCGGTGGTGGTGGTGCTGGTGGTGGTGGCGGTGCTGGTGAACTGGAAAATCTCCAGCTAGAGAGTAGTAATTATTTTCTTGGGTAGATGTCAAGTCTCAATTCAGATAAGACGCAGATCCCATTATTTGGGGGGGATGGAAATCAAAATCCTGCAGTATTCATTCCTGGTTTTATAAGCTATTGACGAGGGAAAGGATCCCATGGCTTCAGAGACCTTAAAGCTTGCCCAAGAAAACTAATTATCTCACATTTGTGTTTATTTTGGGTCTCTGTAGTCACACAAAGGTTTGACTCACTCAAGGTGTCAGAATCAGCATTGCCACATGTACCTTGTCTGCTCTGTAACGTCCTTTGGCCTCTTACAGCGTGCTTTCCAAACCAACCCTCTCGTACATTTGGACACACTTGCAGTTGTTAGTACAAGTAGTTCTTTGGGACTTTATTGTTTGTTTTCTGATATGTCCTTTGCATTTACTGCAGTGAATCAAAGGCTCTTCTTTCTCTTCAGTCTCAAGCCTGGAGCCGGCAGCACGCCGCACCTCTTTCCACACCTCTTTATCTCACATTATAGATAATTAATGTTATTTGATTGTTTTACAAGTTTTGAGTGTTCAGAAAATTAGCGAAGTTAATGTATTGTCACAAAGGAGTAAAAGTAGGTTCTCCTGATTATTATTTAATACTGGTTTATAATTGTGGCTTAATAATAATGTCTGGGGTTCTTCTATTTGATCCGCTGTTTATGTAACCTACATGTTCTTGGTGCTCTTCCAGCTTCTGATCTCACCTAATTTTCATAAACATCTTAACAAGTACCAGCTTAATTTGGGGATGTAGAGATTTTATACAATGGATTAGTTGAATTTGGCAAACGCTACTGCTGCTACTCCTTCAGTGGAGGTAGCACAGTTGTGTTTTATTTGGATTTCCTCAATAGGTTTGGGATCTCTTTTACACAAATCAGCATATTTTACTGAATTTTAACTGTAGCATGGTAGTTAAGAAAGTAGATTCTGAAGCCAAGCTGCTTAGATATAGAGCTGCTTGGTTATAGAGCCTAGGCTCTGTGGTATAACCTTAGCCAGGCTCTGTGGTATAACCTTAGCCTCAATTTTCTGATCTGTAAAATGGGGGGGAAACTGATAGTACCAATTATGGGGTTGTTGTGAAGACTAAATGAGTTCATATGTTCATGTAGGACCCTTAGAAGAAGCCAACATCTACTCAGCTTTCAGTAAATGACCATTTTTTTTTTTGAGACAGGGTTTCTCTGTAGCTTTGGTGCCTGTCCCGGAACTAGCTCTTGTAGACCATGCTGGCCTCGAACTCACAGAGATCTACCTGCCTTTGCCTCCCAAGTGCTGGGATTAAAGGCAAGCACCACCACCACACGGCTATGACTGATTTCTATAGTGGAGAAGTTTCTCAGATTTGAGAAGCTAAAGGTCTGTAACATGATGCAGACTAGAAAACATTCTGTCTCTCTGTAAAATGATCATACCAGCTCCCCCTCCCTCTGCCTCCCCTGCCCCCCCCCCCATCCTACTCACTATCCACTTCTCAGAGGGGATAATGCCTCCCTTGGGGAATCATCAAAGTCTGGGATACCAAGTTGAGACAGGACCAAGCCCCTTCCCACTGAATCTGGCTGGGCAAGGTATCCCACTATAGGTAATGGGCTCCAGCAAGCCAGTTCATGTACTCAGGATAACTCCTGGTCCCACTGCCAGGCCTCCCACCCCAAACAGATCAAGCTCGTTATCACCCACATACAAAGGGCCTAATTCGGTCCCATACAGGTTCCCCAGATGTCAGTCCAGTGTCTGTGAGCTACCACTAGCTCAGGTCAGCTGTCTCTGTGATTTTTCCCAGATGATCCATGTTTTAATGTTATCTGAAGTTTTCAAACGTTCTACCTTCTATAAACCAGGAGTGAGTTGCTAATTACTAAGTTCATGTCCTTATAAATTAACTACTCCTTTTCTCAAGAGTAGTTAACCTTGCTGTTAGGACAAAGAAGAACAAAAAGAAACTTTAAAAAAAAAAAAAAGCGGGCTGGAGAGATGGCTCAGTGGTTAAGAGCACTGCCTGCTCTTCCAGAGGTCCTGAGTTCAATTCCCGGCAACCACATGGTGGCTCACAACCATCTGTAAAGAGGTCTGGTGCCCTCTTCTGGCCGGCAGACATGCACACAGACAGAATATTGTATACATAATAAATAAATAAATAAATATTTTTTTTAAAAAAAGCAAGAAACCATTTTATCCCATTGAGTAGCCTCAGTCGTAGGTGTCCTCTATGGTGAAGTGGTAAGAAACTGATGATGTATTACTCGGATAATGTATTAGTGACGTTTTCACAGTCAACTAAAAGCAAGTAAAGCTAGAAGGCTTATTCTGGAGTTTCCTTACTTATCCCTCTTCCCAGAGGAGAAGGAAGTGGGAGATGCTTGAAATTTTAGAGGACTACAGTAGCCTGCCTCATGTGCAAAGTGTATTTTCCAAAATGTCCACTAGACACCCGAAGCTGTGGGTGGTAGTGATGTATATAGTGCCCTTCCTATCTTAAGTACCTGCCACACCTATTACTCTGTGGCTATTCCTTTTGTATTTTGAGGTACCACAGTAAAAGAAGGATGAATTTCTTTTTACTTCTTCACAGTTTCATGGATCGTTTGTTTTTTATTGTAGATCCTAGCAACCTCAACATTTGTTCGGTTTTGTTTTGCTTTCCTCATTAAAGTAAGAACTGTAACCTTTCATTTAAAGGGAACCCAAACTGTCCTACTGACTTCTCTCAAACGTTAGGGTTTGTTATTAAACAAAGTAAGTTATTTGAATATAAGCACTGTTATGATGCACATTTTATTGGTAAACTGTTATATGCTATTTGTGCTCACTGAGAGGCTGGCTCTAGAAGCAATGTTGTTTCCCCCACCTCTGTAACAAGGAGAGGGAAGAACAGACCCAAAGTAAACACAGTCGGCCCCTGATAAGCATTAGATGATAAACCATTTCCAACCCAGGTTACTGTTGCTTATGCTATCATATAAAAATGCTTACAGTGGGAATAGGCAGAAGTTCACCCATGGAGAGGAAATCGAATGGAGATCTGTGGCATCCCACATTCAGGTGACTACGTCAGTTGGGTCCCTCCCAGCTTATCTGTCCATGCCTAGAGGGATTAAGAGAGAGATTAGACAGAGAGAACTAATAGAGTCAAGAGGACGTCCAGTAACTACTGAGATTTGCCTCCTTTATTTCTCCATAGGCCTTATGTACCTCAGTCCAGAAAGGAGGGGGAAGACAAAAAGGCTTCTTTACCAAAATACAAAGTAGTTACCTTCTTAAAGCCCAAAACATCAAAAACCACTCCCTAGGTCAAAACCTCTTGTCATATAACCTTGAAGGAGCAAGAATAGGTCTGAACTCTTTGACCTTTAGACAAGGTGAAACAGAAGTGCTTCTGTGAACTCCCACATTTCCCACTTTAAAATTTACTTATTAAAGCCTATATTTCTGTTACAGGACAGACAAGTGTGTCTGCCTTAGGTCATCTTATTTATTTATTTATTATGTTTACAATATTTTGTCTGTGTGTATGCCTGCAGGCCAGAAGAGAGTACCAGACCCCATTACAGATGGTTGTGAGCCACCATGTGGTTGCTGGGAATCTCTCCAGCCCCCAAATTGTTTTCTTAAACTTTTACCATTTTGATGATGTAAAGCATGTGATCACTGAGCAAGCTCAAGTTGAGATAAAGCAATCAAATGAGTAAATTTTTCAGCTAAAACATTCTGTTCAGGCAATAGACGAGGAATGTGCCCTAATATGACCCACGAAGCATGGCAATTTTCTTTGATGGATGGCATTTTGAATTTTCTGGAATAGTATTCTATCCTGACTATTACTAGTTCCAATGCAGGGGACAGTCTCAATGACCTGAAGAACTCTAAAAATGTAATGACTGTCGGTATGTAAATGAAATTCATTCTCTGCAAAAAGCTGAGCATAGCAATAGCTCATAGCTCAACTATTTGAGCTGAGACCAGA